GCGCGGCCCAGGCCAGCCCTGCCCTGGAGGACCAGTCCTGGAGACACCCGGGCCACGGCCACTGGCGCAGGGCTCCGCTGGGGCCGAGTGTGGGCGATGCCAGGCCCCTGAGGCTGCAAACCCACACTCCTGGCTCCACCTTCCTTCACCCCGCAGGGGCAGGGCCAGGGGCCTGGTGGGAGCCTCCCTCAGGGCAGAGTCGACCTTGCCCTGGGGAAGCCATCTGGAGAGCCCAGAGGGCCTGTTAGGGAGGGAGCTGGCCCTGGGAGAGGCAGAGGAAGTCAATTAACAGTGAGGCCCGAGAGGGGAGCTAGCTGCCTGCTCCCCGGTGTGGAGAGGGAGGTGCTGGCGGTCCCTTGACACGAAGAGTGAGCCTCGTTTTCCTAAGCCATCATCTGTGCTGAAATGGACTCACAGGTCTCAAAGTAGACATCATCTACAGAATGCAAGGTGGGGGCACCTCACTGGTGCTCCCCGGAAATGCTGGCCTCGGTCTCGGCAGCCCCCTCAGACGCAAGCTCGGTCCCAGCCCCCGGGGGTGGGTGGTGAGGGCTGTCTCGGGCCCTCGCCGGCGCCCTCCTCTGGCTCCCTCTGTCTGACCTGTGGTCGGCCGCTGAGGGGTGGAGGCCTCGCGGGCAGTGAGGACGGGTCTGCAGGGGCGTGGGTGTCTCGGCAGACGTGGAACGCGGCCGTGCAGGGTGAGACGAGTTGGCTCCCCAAGGACGGGGTGAGGTGAGAGGGGCCCAGGGGTCAGGTGCCAGCTGGGAGTCACCACCGCTGGCTGCGGGTGACTACGGCGGTGCGGGCAGCGGAAGCTCAGTGTGTCCGTTGCGGCACGATGATGCCGGTCCCGGGGGGTAGGCATGTCAGGTGGCCGGCAGCGTTGTGTGCAGGGGGTCCTCGCTGGCCCCCCCGGGGTGCCCTGCGCTCATACTGGGGCAGAACACTCGGAGCGGTGGCTGCTCTTCGGAGCAGTTGCGTTGGTGGCCGGTGGCCATTGTCCGCTGTGATCGCTCTACTCCACGCCCTTGCCCTGGGCAGAGCCTGCGCAGGTAGGTGGCCCCGGCAACCTCGGTTCACCACAGGTGAAGGTCCCGAGGCCCAGGTGACTGAGCACCTGACAGGGAGGCTTCAGCCCGGAGGGAGGGCGGCTGGCGAGGCAGGCTCTCTCGCGTGGCTCTCTCCCGGCCGGGCGACCTCCCGCCTGCGCGGAGCCCACTGGCAGGGAGGGCGGAGGGCCCCAGCCCCCCGCAGGCCTGGCTCGCTGGTGGGCGGCACTGGCCCGTGCAGCTCGGTCCTCGCAGGGGCAGGGACGGCGGCCTGGACGCAGGCTGCGTGCTGGCCCTGGGCAGGTGCTTGCCCAGCGCCTGCCTGGGTTCAGGGCGTGGACACCCGCCGGGGGCCTCTGCCCCAGGCAGCCTGGGCTTCGGGTTCCCCACCCGGCCGGAACCCCCCATTCTTCCCACCGCCGTCTGTGTGGCTGGGCAGGTGACCCTGCTTTCTGCAAAACAGAAGGTAGAAGTTGGGGTCACCGGCACTGGTGGCCTTGTGGTGCCTCCGCCTGCAGCTTGGTGCAGCCCTGGTGACGTGTCCCGTGCTTAGGCGTGTCTTTGCAATTAAAAATAATAAGAGGGTGGAGGAGGCTTTTTTTTTTTAAGATTTTTATTTATTGATGCACACAAGAACTGGGTACAGGACAGAGGTTGGGGGGTGAGCGGACTCACCAGAGACAGAGTGGGGAGAACAGGCAGAAAGACTGAAATCCACTGCTGAGGGAGCAGCGGGGAGAGAGGAGGGGCCTGCTGCTCCCTGGGGGTCACCAGCCGGCTGGGCTCAAACTCATGCTGCAGGGGCTGCGACAGCTTCACCATGCTGCGCTTTGATCCCTGGTGCCACGAGGAAGGGTCCCCCCCCCCCCATTTTTAAGCCATCGTCCTTCTGCAAGGCTCACGGAGAAACCCCTGGTGGGCGTGGCCTGATGCCAGCATTCCTGATGTCCCTGATCCCTGGCTTGGCGCCCTCCTCCTTCGTCCTTTGGGGGTGGCCCTGGAGGCCGGCTGCTCCCGCCGGCCAGCTGCTCCCGCCCGCTTGGCTTCGCTCACCCCAACGCCAGGGCAGGCTCAGCGCACTCACGAGTGTCCAGCGAGCCCCTGCGCACATCCCGCCAGGCGGCCCCTGCCTCAGTTACCTCCCGGTGAAAGTTCAGTGTCATCATGTTGGATGGCGCTCCTGAATCCGCAGCCCTGATTTGTATTGAGATGTCACCGTCATGACCTCCCAGGCTGGCTTATCAGCTGTTGAGAGGCTGAATCACACGCTACGGTATTTTAAAATCCAGCGCTTTTTTATAGCCTTCAAAAATCACAGCACCTTTTTTTAGTGCCAACTCTTGACTATTATTGTCACATTTGGCCATAAAATTAAACATGAAAATTGGCATTCGATGATAGTATTAATTTTACTTGACGCCGACGCACCGACGATGAGCAGACCCGAGCGGTGGGGGTCCTGTGTGGGGAGGCGGC